TTTCCCCAGTGTCAATTTAAGAAGGTTTCTCAGTTACTCATGGGACTGGAACTGAATACCTTAAGTGTGTTACCTCTATTTACCTATTGTATTGTGTTACCTATTTACCTCTAGCTAAAATAAACTAGAGACAGAGTAAACTGCATAAGAGTGGTAGTTCCTGGAGCTCCTGTTAGATGTCCTAAATTCTAGAAAATTATATTTGGTTATCTTTCTCAATTGCTGAAATAAGGACTGATATTATTTTGATTAGAACTGTGTTTCTCTTTCCCACTTGAATATTAACAGTGACAAATCTTGTACACTTGAGAGTGCCTGGATTTTTATCAGTGCTTTACTGGTAAAGTTAATCTTTTAAAGGTTATCTGAGCTCTATAAGCAAAATTCAGTATTTCAGCTTTTATTTCCATTAACCTTTTTTTTTCTGCAGTTAACATTTTTAGTTATATATACTTACTCTCACCCATGGCATCAGAATATAAACTCTTTGATTGCCATATGAGTCTAAAGTGATAAAAAGTCATCACATTTTGGTTAGTCTTTATCAATATTTTATTTCATACATGTGCCCAAAGTCTTCATTTCTGTGCTCTTTAAAAATCTAAAGTAAGGTGGGGATCAAATTAGATGTGGCATGTGGAGGTTTATCTGTTTGTATGCAAGTGTTAATGTCATCAGAGGGAATCCCCCGTTCTTTTGAGCATATGAGAAAAACGGTAATACTCATCCCAATAATATAATAATAACATAACATCAGGGTATGACATTCATTAATAAAATAGCTACTTTCAGTGAGGCATAATGAAGAACTATTGTTTAATCTGATTATATCATACAGTAAAAAATTTTCATTACAGCATATGTTGATGGGACAGATCCAGCAATTTTGGTGCATTGCAAAAGCAGAAAGCTTTTCGTTGTTTTTTATACTCTGACCCTGCTACTCCACTAAATTAGTTTGTCTAGTCTTAGACCATTAGCACCATTGTAACTGCCATTCAGTCAGCCTGTTTCTTGTAGATACGAAACAATGTCTTGACTATAAAGCCAAGCATAAAATTAGAATAGATACAGATTCAGATATTCATGCAGAAGTGGCTGCAGGAAAGAGTTTGATTCTGAAAGGTGCTCATGTTCATGCACAGACCAGCCTGTCACGGATTTGTGAACAGGCTGTCATAATCAGAACTAAATCCACTGACGAGAAAAATCACACAAACAATAAGAAAAATACAATTTCCTTAGCTAGAGATAGCCTTTTCAAAGTTCATAATGTAATTCTGTTTAACTTGGATAGCTAATCACAGGCTCTGTATTACACTGTGAAATAACATTGACATCACTTGTCATTTGCATTATATTTATGTTTTAATTACAGATTTTCACCAAGATAAATTTGCAGTAGGCTATGGAAGAGGTCTTATGAATTTCCTTGTATCAGATTGTGACTGGTAGCTATATTAGTACATTATGTTAGATAGATTCCTTTAACTTATGTTTAAACACTCAGCCTTTGTGTTCTCAGAACTGCTTCTTGTGAGTGCTGTGCTGTCTTAAGATCACAAATGCTGCTTTGATAATAATCTGAAGGATGAGAGCATTACTTGTACTTCTCCTTTTTTATGACCTCTAACCCATATATAATGGCCAACAGTTCACTTACTGCTTACGTGCAATGGGAAATACAGCCATATCAGTGAAACTTTTATTTTATTTTGCAGATTTTGTAGTAGTTCTTTGAAGTTAGCAAGAAATACAGAAGAGGTGTAGTCCTTGACTTTTCCCATTGATCCTGGTCCCATCACTGTCCAGGTCAGAGGTATATCACAGAGCATACCATGGCTCCTTCTAGTCCACAAAACCGTGCTTCCTTTCAATGGAAACTATGGGGCATGGCAGGAGCACTGATATATATCTAAATTTTTCCACAACATAAAATCAGGGTATGGTAAAAGCATGCACTAACATCCAGGAATTACATCCAAGTCCTGCAGTTTAAAATTCACTTTTTGAACCCAGAATCCATGTAAAAGTGCATATTATCTGTGGCAAGAATAAGACAAAGCATCCCATACTTCTCTGCAGACTAGAATTGTATTGTTTTATTCTGAGACCATCTTTAGCCTTCCTGGGAAGGATCATGGCAGAAGGAGTGGCAATCCTTGAGAGGCATCTCCATCAACCTCAAATTACATCTCTCTGTCAAAAGCTCTGTCTTTCCAGGTAGGCTGCAGATCTTGTCATTGTCATGAGAAAGGAGTAATGGCAAAGCATCCACTCTCTGGAGAATTGTCTTATTCATGAATCCAGTCCAGAAAGGCTGATTTCTTTGTGTGAAACATTTACATAAAAGAATGTGAAGTTTCCTGCTATTAATCATTTTGTCTCAAGTTTGAGCAACTGTCTCAAGTACAGGTTTTCTGAAGCTTTTTCTTCTCAAACAGACGAAGGTGACAGACTCCCTTTCCCCTATTTCACTTGTAATACCAAATCCCACTTGCTTTCCCAAATGACAGCAGTATTATTTTTATGATCATGTACTCCTAGACATCATTTTTCAGACTGTGTGATGGATGGCATAAGAGGCTGCAGAAAAGAAAGAAGACTTGGTCTCTTTAGGCAGAAATGTACACGCTTTAGTCAGCAGCTTCTTTATTAAATAAATTCAAGTCTTGTGTTCTCCACGTTTGCATACCCTAGCCAAGTTACATCTTAAGTTATATGATCCCTCAACACATGGAAGTCCCTGGAAGGTGCACATATAACAAGGCTATTAGGTAGAAATTAGCTGTTCATTACACACTGACTGTTGGTGGAATTTCTGTAAAGTAGTATGAAAACTGCTCTGTATGTGTAGGAGTTCTCTATTTCCTTACAAATCTGAGTATTAACCTGCTATACCTTTTTCGATCACATAAGTGCTGTTTTTCAAGTTAGAGCGAGCTTAATTGCAAAAAAAAATAATAATCCATCACTTTAACAGGTTGGCCTTCTGTCAGAAAAAAATAGATGTCTAAAATCCACTAATCTGTTCAAAGTGGAGTTATAACTTTTCAAGTAATTGGGATAAATCTTTTGATAGTTACAGTAGTTGTTAGATGGTATATCAATCATAGTCTTCATCCATAAAGATTACCTGTACACTGTGTCTTACTATTTTGATTTAAATATATACTTCTTGCTGTTTCAGAATTTGGAAATAGACTGTAGAACAAATCAACACTTGCTCTTACTATAGTTTCTTAAATTATTTCCGCTGTTTGAAGTGGGAATTACATGCAGTTATTGTAGGTACTGGTCACTGTTGCCTTCCTTCTCCTCCTTCACTTGACAGAATCATTAGATTATTTTTGTGTGTTTGGTTTTTTAATTTGGTTCTCTTAGCCATCTCCGTGTGTGCCTACTGGGGGAATACTGATATACCTGCTACTCTGAGCTAGTGTGACTTTGTTACACCATGACTGAAGTTGACTCAGCATGTTTTATATAAAACTATTTGTTTTCTGTAAGAAGTATATGTATGTTACTCAGAACAGGTTGAGAGTCCAACAGAATCTAACTGAAACCTCTTCTTCTGGTTATCTCTCTTCTGTGAACCAGATTGTTTCCTTCTTAACAGGCTGGAAGCACCCTTTGAGTTACTTTACATACTCTAATATTACTGCATGGTATAATAAATGTATATGGTGCCCTATGGGTGTCACAGTTGGATTGTTAAGCGTATGCCAAGGACATTTCTGCTTGTATGTCAGTTTGGAGACAAATCCTGCTGCAGTGAAGTAAAACTAGCCTTAAGGCACCATATTAAATATTAGAGATTACTGATTTATCAAGTGACAGTAAGTAATGACAGGGAATAAACTTTCTCTTCCTTTAAGTCATTCCCTCATGTAAAAGTACTGTCAGCGACCTGTCTAGCAAAGCAGCACTTAGTTTTTGCACAGCAATCAATGTGGCTGGTCTCCATACTACAGCAGCTGGTCTGCAGTGGTAACTCCCAGTAATCTCTGCACACTGTAATTCTCAGTGATTTCTGTGAGAGTCAGGAGTTCTCAGCAGATGTCCAGGATCAACTGCTAGGAGATAAACAGGGACATTTGCAGAGACTGTTTCTCCTTATAGAATGTGAAAGGGAATTTTATGTACGACTACATTACAGCTACCTGGAAAGAGAAATTAAGTTCAACAGCAGTGAAGCAGTTGAACCATGCTAGAAGTTTACAGACTTTAAAGAAAAAGTTAATTTTTATTTTCTTTTACCCACAGGTCTACCCACGGATAGCGCCGGCATTTTGGCACTACCTGCGGGTAGAAGTGAGTAGCGGGTATTTGAATACTCCCACATCTTTACTTTACAACTTACTAGTATTTACTGACCTCCTACCTTGTCCATTGTGCAAAAACAATTAGCTACCATTCTAGCTGCCATTTTCTGTGAACGTAGTCTTGTATTAATTCCATATTGTTGTAACTACAGTGTAATTACTAACCCAAGACACAAAAATGTGATGTGTTTATATGCAAGATTAAAGACAAAAAATTGAAATCTAAGTCAAGGCCATATCATACATTACAAATATAGCAGAAAAATGAAGTACAGAAATCCATACCTGCACCTCCTTTTATAAAGACATTTTACATTCATGAGAAGAATGTGGAGCTTCAGTTCTGCTATATCATTTTTGCAAAGTTTATACAACTCAACTTGATATAATTTCTCCCCTCTTTTGTCCCTCAGGAGCATGAGCAGCTCAGCTATTCCTCCACAAGGTCCAAGGCTCCAAGTGTTATCATCACAGGTCTCAAGCCAGCCACCAAGTATATATTTCATATCAGAGTCAGAACGGCAGCAGGATACAGCGGCTATAGCCAGAAGTTTGAATTTGAAACTGGAGATGAAAGTAAGTTTTACTGAAGGAAAAAAAAATCAAGTACAATAGAAGTAGCATCTAATTCTAAAGCAGTGAGACATTGGGAGTTTGAATCCATACCATTTGCTTATCTCAAAACAACCACTGCTGTATGATAAAAAACAAGTAAGCCTCAGCCTCACACTTCTGGATATACAACAACAAATAGAAATTTTAGCCCAACATTGCAACTGAAGGAATGTTTTCTTCTGCAAAATTTCCTTAGTGGTCCCTTCCAACTTGAGCTATTCTATGTTTCTATGATTCTTTCTTTGCTTAAAGGCCTTCCTTTTGACATCTAGAAATACCCTTACTTGGGCTTTACAAAACTCCAGCAGCTTCATGCAAGCACCCAGAACACAGTGATGGAGTCTTTTCTTTGCACATTTAGTGCTCCCAGACTCTACAAATTTAAAAAGATTAAAACTTTTACATGTGTTTCCATCAACCATGAAGCCTACTAAATTTGCCAGGAAGAAGCAAAAAGCCTACATATTCCTACAGAATATGCAGAAAGGCTTGATGCTATTTATGGTGTGCATGCTCTGAACAATTTTATATTTGAGCCATGTATTGCCCTCCATGTTCAAAGAAATTGCAAACAAGGTATTTACAAGCATTTGAGATAAAATTAGTGTAGTAGATACAACACCAAAACACTCATTAATGAAATTACTTTAATTAAACACTTATATATACCATGTTTTTCATTAGTGTTTTAGAATTCAAGTTGCTTAAGCTAAAGTACAGACTCAAAACTACGTAAGTGTTTTTAAGAGCACCTATGGGTTTGTGTTCCATTTTCGTTGTTTCTTAACTTCTATTTCAAAAATGTTTTAGGGATAGATTTCCAAGTGCTTAATGCCTAACTGGAATTTTTAAAATTTTCTGAGTCCTTAAGCCAATTGGTTTGAATAGAAGTTGAGCACTTGGGTGCTTGCAAGAATTTCAGTAGATCCGGGCTGCATCTTCTGATGCAATAAATACTAGGCTTTAGGCACCCAGAGACTAACTCCTAGCAAAAGTAAATGGTATTTAGAGCTCTATGAGCCTATGTCATATTTGTGAGAATGTGTCTTACCCATCTAAATCAGGAAGCCTGTGGTTCCAGTGACATTTCTCTCGTTGGCACTGCTGATAATAGAAACATCTGAGAGTGAGATTCCACCCACTGCTTCCCAGCCCCACATCTCCTTCTCAGTTGCTCTAATGCAACTGCTGCATGGTGAGCTAGACCTCACAACTCTTAAACGTTTATTACCTCTCTTACATCTAAGCACTCAGTGTGAATCTTGATAGTGAAACATAAATACACAGTATATATTTGCTGTTTACCAATATTTATTACTTAAACTTGTGTCTGACTAAAAGTGATTTGTTATAAATATAGATCATCATGTGATTTAAAGGAAATGTAGACAGAAGAGTTTTTTGTTTATGATCATTTGAGATGGAGGTTGAGAGAAATTCTGCTGTTGTTTGAAATGGTACCTGGAGCTACATAAAGACTTCAGTTTAATTAAAAGGGTAGTTCAAAGGACTGTGGCCTTATTCAAATATTTATACAGTAATGCTTTAAATTTCTAAGGGGGAAAAAAAGCAAAGTGCCTGCTGCTCAACATTACTTACTTCAAATTGAAGCAGTACTCAGTCACCAAACAATGCCTCGTTACTCTCCAGATATCTTACTTCCTCACAGCAGTATTTTGAAAATTGGCCTATTCTAAACTTGAAGGTGATATCAGCTGATTATGATCATTCATTTGTACCCCTTTCATAACATGGGCCATATGTCTGTAACTTTTCCAGACAGCTAATGACAATAGATTGAAATCTAACATCTACCATATACAAATAGTCTTGATTTAAAGTCTTCAGGTAATGGGGAGCTCACCATGTTTATAGGTAGATAGAGCCAGTGTGTAAGCCTCATAATTAAAAATTTGCACCTTATTTCTAGCCTGATTTTTTTTGTTGTTTAGCTTGTATCTTGTGACACTTTTCTACCAAATAAAAAAGCCAAATACTGTCAGAAATCTCTTCCTCATCTAAATGTGTCTATGTCATTTTTAAGAATTCCCTTGTCTTTTCCATAAGTGATACAAATGCTCTCTCTCACTCTAAAAATCAGAGTTTTTTCAAACATTGAATCATTTTGTAGCTCTCCAAAATTTTAATATCCTTTTTGATGTATAATATCAGAGCTGAATTAAACTGGAAAACTAAATCTGTTTGCCATGCCATAAGCAGACCTAACACCAGGTGCCTCCTTATAATGCAGTTTTCTTTTACTTATAGGTCAAAGTACTGGCTGCCTAACTAGGGCATTGTCTTACACAGCTGAATAATTGGAACATAGTAGTGTTTTGTCAGTACCGTTGTATTCCAAGATATTGACCTACATTTAGATGGAGGGATTGAGGAGGGTTGTGTTGAGACTTAGATGGCATTGTTTACATCAGTACATGTAAATGTTAATTTTCCCTTGCTGGCATACATCTGTCTTCCAAACCAGTCCAAGTCAAGCTGTGTAGGAATCTCTCTTCATCATTTACTGCTCCAGCAGTATGTAGTCAGATGAAAATTTACAGATTTTTTTTTTATGTATTATTTATATATTTATATATAATA